GTTTTAACGCCCAAACTGTGAGTGTCGTGTTCTCCTCAGGGACTAGGCAAGTCAATGATTGTGCTCGGATAAATCTAGGTAACACAATTCAGCTTATGAATGCAGAAATAAAACCTAAACTATCAATGATTGTCGCCAAGGTAAACGAAAAAAAGCAAAGGTAGATTCAGATTATACTCTCTGTCCTTTTGGTATTATTTTTTATTGGCATGAGAAACTAAAACAGTAACACAAAGGGAACAACAGGACATGAACATATATAGCAAAATAGAAATGGGTCACATTACAAACATATTTGTCACAGAGACGAAGCTATCACAGAGACAGAAAATTAATCACACACAAAGTTAACTGGTACTAGAAGTTAACTAGTACAGGGGACTAGTACACAGGGTGAACACACATATATGCTAGCAGAATACTAATTGATAGAACCAAAATATAATAGATCAAGTATCTCCCAAAGTAGCAAAGCCTCAACTAGTCAGATCTCAGATCACATACACCATATTATACAAGTACTTAAACAGAACAAACAGCAGGTTGCAAGTACACTTCAAATCTGAATATTAAATGTCATACACTTCTAAATTTTACAGAAATTTCAGAGAGAGAGAGAAACAGTAATGATTCGGATTCAGAGAAGTGCAGCAGCAAGGTAAGGGAGGAAGGAGCAGCAGCAGCAGCAAGTTAGGAGCAGCAGGGGACGCAGGAGACAAGGAGCAACAGTAGTGGCGCAGCAAGATAGGAGAAGAAGAACAGCAGCAGGCGTGTAAGAAAGAGGAGCAACAGTTTGGGGATTTGGAGAAGGAAGAGCAGCAGCGAGGCTAGGGAAGAAGAAGGAGAACAGCAGTAGGTTAGGAGAAGAAGAAAGGTGGAGGAGCAATAGGGAGATGGATTGCAGGGTGCGCGAGGTGGTGGTGGCGCTGGCGGCAGGAGGTGATGGTGGCGCTGGGTGTTGGTGCTGGTGATGGATGGCGCTGGTGGGTGGATGGGCTGTGGAGGCGCACCACCACGTCGGCCTGGTCGTGGCGGCGGCCAGAGGTGGAGAAGGAGTGGTGAGGGGGAGAGAGATGAAGATGTGGCTAGGCCCGATTTGCAATGAGGTGCGGCTAGGGATTTCATTCCCCTCTCTGATCTGCCACATTTGCACATTGGCCCTCCTCTTCTCTTCATTTCTGCCCAAGAAGATCCTCCTCTTCTTTTAGTTTGCTCCCCTACATTACTTCTTTCCTTCACGCTCAAGCCTTGACATATTTCTTTCATGCCCTTCTCTCTTCTCGTTAGCCACATAGTAGAACTCTTGATGATTATAGTGCCTTTGCGCACTTTTCTGCAAAATAAACAATTCACTAGTCAACATTCTCTTTTATGATTATCATTCGAATATTCAACAAGTCATAGCAAGAATGGATGGATATATCTCAATAAATGGTGAATTTGTGTGCCCAAATAGTATATAAGAAATGTGCTTATCAAGTTCCCCCACACTTAAACTTTTGCTTGTCCTCAAGCAAAGGAATATGACAAGAGCTAGATAATGAACAGTGAGCTGACTGGAGAATGTCCTAGTGAAGTAGATCTCCAAACAAAGCATGCTTTGGACTTAGCTAATGAAAATTAATGGTTAAGAGTGCTACAAAGCAGTAGGATACTAGTAAGCATGACCATTTTAAACTTTTACAATGATAAAAGAGGATCAACAAGTTTAAATGATGACCGCGCCAAATGGTTCCTAAAGAGAGCATGACCCAAAAAATAAAAAGAACTTAAACTTGTGATCAGATCACTTATTACCAGGAACATTGTGGTTGAACCACTTATTGAATTTGAAGAAAGTAATGATAATATTTTATTGATCTCACCAAAGGTACATACCACCGATCGCGAGAACATGGTATACACCCGGCTCGACCAATTTTATAATTTTTTTTTGTTTGTCTCCCCAAAGGAACATACCACCGATCCCGAGAACATGGTATACACCTGGTTCGACAATTACATTATTATTATTAATTACTGCCCAAGCTAACCCGATTTCACATGCCACCGATCCCGGGAACATGACATGCTACTGTAGGTAGCCAAACTTATTTATTCATTATTACTTATCTTAAATGAACAACGCATAAGAACAAAAACAGGAATCATCACTTCTCCATGTCTGGTTCACATGCTACCGATCCAGGGAACATAGCATGCTAATCCATAGTGGTTAGGTGATTGCTCTCAATGGGAAGAAACTTGGCACAAATACAGCATCTAAACATGGTGATCTAGGTGTATCGAGGTAAAAGAAGAAAATGATTAAGTTTTCTAGTGTACTAGGGATTTGAGCACTCAAAACTAATAACTTTCACTAATTTCAGCAAAGCAAGCAATATGTAGATCACTAGTTTACATGGCATTCAACAATCAGTTCGCATATTCTCATCAAGCACCATATGTCAAATAAAATTCAGTGGGGCAACATTTAAGACATGGCTTAAGCAACCCAAATAACATTTGATTTCAGCATGTATCAATGGATGATATACTCAGAATGGGTCATGAAACAGCTCACCGGGCTTATATGATGTAGGTCTCGCACAATCACTCTCTGAACTACAACTCTTCTCTTTTTGCTTCTCTATCCTCATGCCTGCTCCAGCTTCTCTCTTCATGTGTGCTCCTTGCTTCTCCTCATCCCCATGCCATAGGTCCACCGGGGTCCCAGGGAATGTCATCTCAAACTTGGTCAGCATGTAGTGGATCATGCACAAGCAAGAACCTGAAAGAGCACTCAACGAAAGAGACAATGCAAGTGGTAGGGATAATACCCTCCAAGTCATCAATCGAATATCCAATTACATAAGCATAGCTATAAAGCACATGTTTAGGATGGTATAAATCAGCAAGGTCGACACTAACATGAGGATGAAATTTATCATTAAGCTCAAGACTAGCATGGGAATAATATGTTTCATTAAGCATAGGACTAGCATAAGGAAAATAAGTGTCATCATCAGGAATGAGAGCAATGCCACCAACAATGTATGTATGATCATGTCCAAGCAAATAATTTTTCAAGTCTAGCTTAATTAATGGTATAACACAATGGAAAGTATCAGCAAAGATCTCATAAGGAAGCATGTCATCAAGAGGATTGGATAAACCTGCTAAATCACGCTCCTATATGACGATGGGCAAATGCGTTTCTGGTTCTTCATCTTCAATCACATCAACTTCTTTTGCTTCTTCAAGAATAATAGATGATGAGTCTTCAACTTGATCACTTTGTTGTTCGAGCTTTGGATCATCTTGTGCCTTGGCTTCGAGAATTTCTTCTTGGATCTGAAGTATCTCTTCCTCTGGACCCTCGCTATCTTGCTCAGCTGAATGTGAAGGTGTTGGAACCTCACACACCTCAAGGGATATCCCGGCAACACTCAGCTCAAGGAGGGAAGAGATAGTACTGACAGCGTTGATGTTCTTCTCAATCTTCCTTACTTCTTCCACTAGCTCCTTTCCACTCTTAATCTTCTTCATTTCCTCTAGTATCACCGGCCTAATTGGATCATCTTCAGCACTCCAAGTGAACTCGAGACTAAGCAATGTGAGCTTGTCTATATCATCAAAGTCATCTTGTGTGGGCACTTGTGCTGAAGATGTTGGTTGACCAAATGGAGGACCATTTAACTCCATTGGCAACATGTCTTGGTGTTGAGGTATATGAGTAGGAGCTGAATAAATCTGTTGTGGAGCATAGTTGTGGCTCTCCTCTTCATACCTAAATCTCTGCAATGGATAACTAGAGGCAAACGATGAGATCTCAGGGTTGTTGCTCCTATATGACATATCCAGGCTTTCAGGCCACCCATGTGAGTAATTGTTTTGGTATGAGCTATGCTGTTGAGCGAAGATCATGCCAAAACAATTCGGAGGATGGGAGTAACCACGCTGACATTCAGCGGGCGAATGGCCCTGAAATCCACAAATATGGCAGCTAGGAGCAACATAAGGATGGCCTCTAGAATAAGGATCATAAGAGCTAGGCCTATCCTCAAAAACTACTTCTCGCTGCCGAGCTAAATCATCTAATTAATGGGAAATCTTACTTATCAGTTCTTGAATACTTTCTGTGTTGTTTGTAGTGTTGCTCGCATAAGCCTGATGATCTGAATAGTAAGCCATAACCGAGAAGATAGTTCTAACCTACAAAAAGGAAAAGAAAACAAAAAACATACTAACTAGAACAGAGGTTAGTGGTTAGAGATATATCATGAATATATGGCACAAACTAGAAAAAGAAGAAAAACCTAGTCTATAGCCTAACACGGTCACACGACGCTAGTTCCCCGGCAACGGCGCCAAAATGATCAATTTTAATATAGGGGGGTTTTTTACGCCCAAACTGCGAGTGTCGTGTTCTCCTTAGGGAGTAGGCAAGTCAATGATCGTGCTCGGATAAAGCTAGGTAACACAATTCAGCTTATGAATGCAGAAATAAAACCTAAACTATCAATGATTGTCGCCAAGGTAAACGAAAAGAAGCAAAGGGAGATTCAGATTATACTCTCTGTCTTTTTGGTATTATTTTTATTGGCATGAGAAACTAAAACAGTAACACAAAGGGAACAACAGGACATGAACATATATAGCAAAATAGAAATGGGTCACATTACAAACATATTTGTCACATAGACGAAGCTATCACAGAGACAGAAAATTAATCACACACAAAGTTAACTGGTACTGGAAGTTAACTAGTACAGGGGACTAGTACACAGGGTGAACACACATATATGCTAGCAGAATACTAATTGATAGAACCAAAATATAATAGATCAAGTATCTCCCAATGTAGCAAAGCCTCAACTAGTCAGATCTCAGATCACATACACCATATTATACAAGTACTTAATCAGAACAAACAGCAGGTTGCAAGTACACTTTAAATCTAAATATTCAATGTCATACACTTCTAAATTTTACAGAAATTTCAGAGAGAGAGAAGCAGTAATGATTCGGATTCAGAGAAGTGCAGCAGCAAGGTAAGGGAGGAAGGAGCAGCAACAGCAGCAAGTTAGGAGCAGTAGGGGACGCAGGAGACAAGGAGCAACAGTAGTGGTGCAGCAAGATAGGAGAAGAAGAACAACAACAGGCGTGTAAGAAAGAGGAGCAGCAGTTTGGGGATTTGGAGAAGGAAGAGCAGCAACGAGGCTAGGGAAGAAGAAGGAGAGCAGTAGTAGGTTAGGAGAAGAAGAAAGGTGGAGGAGCAGCAGGGAGATGGATTGCAGGGCGCGCGAGGTGGTGGTGGCGCTGGCGGCAGGAGGTGATGGTGGCGCTGGGTGTTGGTGCTAGTGATGGATGGCGCTGGTGGGTGGATGGGTTGCGGAGGCGCACCACCACGTCGGCCTGGTCGTGGCGGCGGCCGGAGGTGGAGAAGGAGTGGTGAGGGGGAGAGAGATGAAGATGTGGCCAGGCCCGATTTGCAATGAGGTGCGGCTAGGGATTTCATTCCCCTCTCTGATCTGCCACATTTGCACATTGGCCCTCCTCTTCTCTTCATTTCTACCCAAGAAGATCCTCCTCTTCTTTTAGTTTGCTCCCCTACATTACTTCTTTCCTTCACGCTCAAGCCTTGACATATTTCTTTCACACCCTTCTCTCTTCTCGTTAGCCACATAGTAGAAGTCTTGACGGTTATAGTGCCTTTGCGCACTTTTCTGCAAAATAAACAATTCACTAGTCAACATTCTCTTTTATGATTATCATTCGAATATTCAACAAGTCATAGCAAGAATGGATGGATATATCTCAATAAATGGTGAATTTGTGTGCCCAAATAGTATATAAGAAATGTGCTTATCAGGGGGTTAAATAAAAGATGACCCTCGGGCTCGCGAAAACCCAAGGGAAAAAGGCTTAGGTGACAAATGGTAAAACCAAGGTTGGGCCTTGCTGGAGGAGTTTTATTCAAAGTGAACTGTCAAGGGGATTCCATAAATCACTCAACCGCGTAAGGAACGCAAAATCAAGGAACATAACACCGGTATGACGGAAACTAGGGCGGCAAGAGTGGAACAAGACACCAGGCATAAGGCCGAGCCTTCCACCCTTTACCAAGTATATAGGTGCATTAATTAAACAAGAGATATTGTGATATCCCAAAATATCCATGTTCCAACAAGGAACAAACTTCATCTTCACCTGCAACTAGCAACGCTATAAGAGGGGCTGAGCAAAAGTGGTGACATAGCCAAACAACGATTTGCTAGGAAAGGATGGTTAGAGGCTAGACATGGCAATATGGGAGGCATGATAAACAAATGGTAGGTAGAGCTAACATAACGATAGAGCGAGCAACTAGCAAAGCAAAGATAGAAGTGATATCGAGGGCATGGTCATCTTGCTTGCAAAGTTCTCAGAGTTGTCGAAAGCTTGATCCTCGTTAGTGTACTCAACAGGTTCCTCGTGCACGTACTTGTCTCCTGGCTCTACCCAAAGCAAGAACACAAGCAATGGAACCACAATAAATCACGTGCAATGCACAAGCAACATGATGCAATACATGTCATGATATGCGAGATGTGATATGTAATGCGTATGCGTGCTCCGTAAGGAAAATGATGAACAAGGCATCAACTTGGCAAACCAAGTATGCCGCTGGAAAGATGAGATGATTTCGGTTGAAATCGATATAAAGATCACCGGAATCGGATGCACGGTTTGCAAATGGCAAGCAAAACAAGAATGACACAAATCTGCGGTTAACAGCATGATAGCACTTAGAATACATCAAGAAACTATGCTACAGCACCCCAACACATCAAGAAAGCATATGGCAGTGATCTACAAGAGATGCTTGACAAAAGATGAACACTGAGCTACGGCTAATTCACACATTAACAGGTTCAAACAAGCATGGCAAAAGTGCAAAAGATATCAGCTTCACAGAATTAGTGAAAATTACTGAACATGGCAGAATCAGCATCAGGAAGTAATGTTTAGATCAAGCAAATATCATGCTACAGGAATATATCATAGAAACTTAAGACATGGCATGATACTACTAAATGCATAGAACAAAAGTCCCTTACTGAACATGAGCCAAAAGGGCACAGAAAATATTATTACACCCATGCAAACATAGCAAGTTTTATAAACAGGTTCAGACGGTGAAATTTCAGGACATGGCAAAACAGATTCATGTTGGCATGTTATCAAGCTTGATTAACTCACTACATAGCATATCATGGGATGAAATAAATCTAGCATGGAGTAGTCATGAAAATGAAGCTATCCTTGTGCAAAACAACCTCATAGCATGCTTGAAATAAACCACAAACATAACAAGACAACATCATGATGTAAAATGACATGTTCATGAACTTGCTCAAATGCAGAAACTAATGCAACCACTGGATTGGTGGAATTTTTCTACCCCAAAACCATATATAATATGTTGGGGTTGCTGTAGAAAAATCATCACCAGTGCAATAAGTTAAAAACTGCCCTAAATGGAATATGACAGAATTGGCAGTTTCCTTATTTGGAAACGTCCAGAAATGGACTTGCCCGAAATGGATAGATTCCAAATGCCAGAAATGGATTATTTCCTGGGAAATAAAAAAAATAAAAAAAGGATATGGAAGGATGACAGGTGGGACCGAGGCGTCAGTGCCACAAGTAAAACAGAAAAAAAAGGGGGGGCAGGATTTATGCACCCGCGTGGATCGAACCCGGGTCTCCCCGGTGCGGGTTTGCATAGTCAACCACTGGGCTAGCTAGGTACTACTGATAAAGAGAAGGGTTCGGCTCCTTTTAGAGAGACCCCAGTTCGAGCTCCTCTGTTACAAACAGAGAAGACGACGGCGCCGGCGAGGGCAGTCGTGGCGATGGCAGGCCTGAGAGGACGCAGCGGGCATGCGGGATTGGGAGCCGGGGCCGGGGTGTGCAACAGCGCGGCTATGGAAGGCGTGTGCACGCGGGACTCGAGCACGAGCTCGATCTCGTCTCGGGTACGACAGCGGCAAGACTGGATGAGGCCGCTGCTCCTTGCTTTCCAGCGCGGGCGAGCGCGTGAGGCAAGCACAGTGAGGAGAAACGCGGCTAGGCTAGAACAGGAGCGCTGGGATGTGCGGGTGCGCTACAGCAAAGATACGCACAACAATAAACTTCAGGCTTCGCTGGAGCACTACGGGCGCGGCAAAGACACGGACCGAGCGAGTCCTACGGGTGCCTACATGCCATGGGATGGATGGGAGAGGGAGGTGCATTACCCAGCTCACCCAAGGACACGACGGGGTCGACGGAGACGATCCGGCAGCGACGAAGTGAAGCTCTAAACCTTGGCGCGGTCCTGACCGAGAGGAAGATGGAAGCAGAGGACGTCGAGGAACTTGTCGTCCGAGGCACCGTAGTCGACGTCGTGGATGAAGACGATGATGAGGAAGAATAATAACACGATCTCCGGGGTGGGGGTGGCCGGAGAGCACGCCAGCGACGAGGTCGCGCTCTCAGGTGCGCTCTGGACAGAGCTGTAGCGGTGGATCTGGTGGTTCTTCGCACCTGTCAGCGGCGGTGAGAGGAAGAGGGAAACCCTAGGGGTGTGTGGACAAGGAGAGGGGTTAAAAGGGGGGCCAGAGCGACGGGTGTAGCGCGGCGTCGACGCGGCCATGACCATGTGCGAGCCCGGCACGAGCTTGACGAAAAGGTGAGGGGCGGGTGAGCTATAGCCAGAGGCTGGCTAGTGGGGTTGCGAGGGACACGTGGGCGTACAGGCTCCTGGGTAGCAGGGCGGCTAGGTGAGAAACGCGTGCGCGCATGCGGGAGCAGGTGAGCGCGGCTGCGGCCTGGCTGGCTGCGTTGGTTGGGCTGGCAGATGGAAAAGGCCTCGGCTGGGCTGAGGCTGCTAGCTGCTG